TTTGGTGTCTAGGAAATGGGATAACAATCATCAACAACAATTAAGACAGAGACCCGGGACAGAGACAGAAGAGTCTAATACGAGAACACAAAAGAAAAAGAAAAAGTTTGAAAAACTTATGAAGCAGAAGGAAATAATTTTGCAGAACAAAATATAACAGAAAGGAAATGTTAACAAATGAAATGGGCCTAAACATGCAATTATATTTATAAATTAGATATCGAAAACGACAATACAGAACAATATTAGCATTGTAGCGGTTGTTATACAGATGAAAATGAGAAATAGTGATAGTGTAAAGTGCATATATACAATGTGGAGCACATAGGCGCCGGAAGTGGGGGGGCAGGGGGGGCAGTTGCCCCCCCCCCAGTCAAAAAAGTGGGGGGGCAAAACGCATTTTTGCCCCCCCAAAACGCCCCCCCCCCTCCAAAAAAAAAAAAAAAAAGCAGTAAAGGAATAAACATGGTTTGTATTTTTAACCCAAAAGAACATAACAATAATAAAAACCTGAATTAAAGCACATATACCATTCCATTCAAAGAAAAGGAAAGTTCACAGGAATTAAATTTTTATAAACATTGCGCATGCTACCTATACGGTTTATAATAGCGATACGCGCATATCGTGGACATATATTGTGCGAGAATGGGAAAACGTGTCTGTTTTTTTGGTTTTGTTATAGGGGTGAGAAGACATGAGCCCCTGAACGCTGGCGTACTGATGGAGGGGGGGGGGTATATCTATACGATACCAGTGATTTACACATGTTGCTGTTATGACATGATTTTCCGGTATTTTTTCTCCATTTTTTTTTAAGTCATACCTTTTTATGCGTTTGTTGGAAAATAAGAAATTCCCAAATTACAGTCGGGCGAAAAATACGCTTATTTAGAAGCCTTTATGGCATGGTCTGCAAAGTGGCTGGGCTCGAGCCCCTCCCCCCTCACTTTTTGAAAAAGTATGTTAAAGAGAAAAAGAAAGAAAGACGGAGAGAAAAAATAAGTGACCTGCCAATGTCACAAATAAGGCATAAAAAATGCTCATCTGACCGTAATTAAATGCCTAAAACCCCAGAGCTTACGGGTGCTCCGCCCCCGGACCCCACCAAGGGCCCTAAGGCGGGCCCCTGGATGCTCATCTGACCGTAATTAAATACCTAAAACCCCTGAGCTTCCGGGGGCTCTGCCCCCTGGACCCCACCAAGGGCTCTAAGGCGGGCCCCTGGATGCTCATCTGACCGTAATTAAATACCTAAAACCCCTGAGCTTCCGGGGGCTCTGCCCCTGGACCCCACCAAGGGCCCTATAAGGCGGGCCCCTGGATGCTCATCTGACCATTATTAAATACCTAAAACCCCTGAGCTTCCGGGGGCTCTGCCCCCTGGACCCCACCAAGGACCCTATAAGGCGGGCCCCTGGATGCTCATCTGACCATTATTCAATACCTAAAACCCCTGAGCTTCCGGGGGCCCTGCCCCCTGGACCCCACCAAGTGCCCTAGGGCGGCCCCTGGTTGCTCATCTGACCGTAGTTAAATACCTAAAACCCCTGAGCTTCCGGGGGCTCTGCCCCCTGGACCCCACCAAGGGCCCTATAAGGCGGGCCCCTGGATGCTCATCTGACCATTATTCAATACCTAAAACCCCTGAGCTTCCGGGGGCCCTGCCCCCTGGACCCCACCAAGTGCCCTAGGGCGGCCCCTGGTTGCTCATCTGACCGTAGTTAAATATTAAAACCTCTGAGCTTCTGGGGGCTCCCCCCCCCCCCCCTCTGGAACACGCCAATTGCCTTAAAGAGGCCCCTGGATGCTCATCTAACCGTAATTAAATACCTAAAATCCCTGAGCTTCCGGGGGCTCAGCCCCTTGACACCCTGCCGAGGCTGGACCCGACGCCAATTTACGCTCTACCTGATCGTTAATACTTCACTTTGAAAAACGTTCCGCGGGACCTGCATGTAACGTGTAAGACTGGTGGTGATGCAGATTTTTCGTCTGCCCCCCCCCCTTCCGAACGTTTTTTCTCATTACGTCACTGCCCTCGGAAGGTGAGCCCCCTGGAATGTTTGCCCCCCCCCCCCCAATCCCAAACTGCTTCCGGCGCGCCTGGTGGAGCAATACTTACATGTGCAAGTACCACAGAGAGGATGCCTCTTGATGGTGCTTGTTTAAGACCTTTGAGATGGGATTCCAGTCTGCCGCCCTCTCTAGTTCCACATTCGAATAACCTATGTTCAGAAAACAGAGTGATAAAGGTTTTATGTACGTTGGCTGTTAGAGTACAGAGAAAGAATCAGAAAGAGAATGAGAGAGAAAGAGAGAGCGATAAAGGGGGGGGGGGTAGATAGAGAAAGAGAGAGAGAGGGGAAAATATAGTAGAGAGACAATATTACAAGGAACAAAGAAATTAAGAAATAGAAACAGACAGATAATGCGTAAACTAAGCTACTATTAGCATTTTCATGTTGGGATTTATAAAGTGTGTCCCAGAAAAAAACGAAACCGAGAAATATCGACGTTTTATCATAACTTAATCAAAATTATAATTAATAAATGACACATATTTGTAAAGCTTAGATCCTCCTCCATTTCGTTGACGATCAGCCATGCATCAAGTCTTTCGTCTTATTTGTGCATGGCTGATCGTCAACGAAACGGAGTTAAGTCTTTTATCAAATCTGTTTATTGCTACGGCAGGCAGCCAGTGAAAACGAACTCGTTTAATCAAATTATGGAAATGCAAGCATTACTTCAAACAAACAGAACTTTGTTATTCCTGGCACATTTTTTCCTGATTGAGGTGTCATATGGAAGGACAGAAAATGAACTTTCCAGAAATGTGATTTTCTCTTTGAAATTCAGATACTGCCCGCCAAATGGCTTTTTGGTTTCCTCTCTTCAAATTATTTTCAATCATTAATGCTTGAAATATGCATCATATGAGTTGCCTCAAATGAAAGAGGAGGATCTAAGTTTTTACAAATATGTGTCATTTATTAATTATAATTTTGATTAAGTTATAAAACACCGATAATTCTCGGTTTCATTGTTTCTGGGACGCACTATATATCTGATTTGTTTTCTTCCCATGAACGATTTAGTTGTGTAGGTCTCATTTAATGATTAGCAACAACATACACATACTCCGGGAGGTGGAGAGGGAAGGGGATTAAAATTAATTGGATCAATTTTAAAGGCCTTAAATTGATTTTGATTTTAAGACATGCTTTAAAATATATTTCAAGATAAATTGTATCAATTATTTTTAAATTCCAGAGATGGTTCTTTTCAGGAGCGACAAACTAAACGAGTTGTTCAGCTTTCCCGCTTTAATATTAATTTTAATTTTAATTTTCTATACAAAAAATTGTTTATATAATGTTTAAAAAACGTCAAGAAATAATCCATGATATCATTAATACCTATTTCAACGTTGTTCAATTTCCTCTGTATTTTTAACATAAAATTTGTACAGGGCCTCTTAGAAAATCACATTTAATACTGAGAGAGTAACCCTGTTCAAAAGAAAACGGAAGAAAAATATATCCTACTATTAATCCGATATGTTCAGCATTGACTTGCTTGAAAGGCGTAAATGACGGCTAACTTCAATTAGGTTATGTATCGGAAAATGGAGAATTCTGTACAAACATAATCGCCAATTAGGGACAATTAATTACCATATTTATTTATATTTGTGCCCTTATTCTATTCATATAATCTCTCTCCCACCCCCACCCCCATTAACACACAACCACACTCCCATTTCAACTCGTTTCATCCCCCCCCCCCCCAAAAAAAAAGGAAACTAGAAAAGAAAAAGGGAACAAAGGAATAAATGAATAAAGTAAAACTATATAAAAGCTTGCTAGGTTATTTGAATACTCCCCATCAAACAAACACATCATCATTGAATCACATCATTTCAGGATAACTACCATGCGTTAGCATCCAATCTCATCCATTCATTCTTTTCCCCAACTCCATTTTTTCTTTTTAAATGTAAAACAGTACATTGCTTAAATAGAAAATATAATTCACACAGATTTTTCAGGCTTTAAAGTATAATCGTTTTTATTTTGCTTGAATGCACGAAAATATGTTGAGCAATAGCAAATTAATTCAAGGGATACAATAAAAACATTTTCAATGACACAAATAAAAGTACTGCTATTGAAGTACAGTGTCACGAGAGTGACTTCTTTTTAAATTATTTACACTGCTACCTCATCAGAAAACCACACCAGAACACAATTGTATAAGTTTAAATAAAGGTTTAATATTCAGCCAACAAATCGTGGCGTCAAAAAAATCAACAGCACATAAACAATTTAATGGAACATAACTTTGTAACAGTGCAGCTTCCATCTCGTGAGTCCCTCCTGGTCCTGGTCGCTTGGCCAGTCTCTAGACTGCGTAGAATCCCCGTCGACCTATGATATTATATTTTATATTGCTGCTTTTACTCTGTTAATTTTTCAAAAATAACAATAAAAACAGAAAAAAAAAAAAAAAAAAAAAAAAGAATCCCCGTCGACCTGACAGCTTATCTCGATCTCTGTCGATGACTTCCCTGGTCGCTTGGCCAGTCTCTAGACTGCGTAGAATCCCCGCCGACTTGACAGCTTATCTCGCCCAGACGTAAAAAGTCTTTCTCAAGAATAATGTTTCTGCCACTAAATAAAACTACCTCGTGCATTAAACGTCTGCACCGTAGCACTGACTTGAAGGGTTCTTCCCATTATTCTACAGCAACTTCCCTTTACCCTTCTTTTCCAGGTCCTTCACATTCAAAACCTCTTTGGCATCCAGCTATTTCTATTTATCTCTACATTAAATAGCCAACCCAAAATCATGCATATCAAAACCCCCATATACTGTGTGTGTTAAATGTAAATGTATGCAATAATGCATCCTACGCTTGGCTACCTCTAATTGACCTTAGAGTAGTACATTTCCTTTGAGTAGTACATTTCCCTTCTCGCCTGCAAACAAATCCTTTCATGACATACAGCCAGTTGTAAGCCATTGCAGCTAATAAATGCCACTGTCTACTCGGTGTAATTTGATGGAGATTAAAGGAATAACATTTGTGCTAAAGATTGGTCTTACCTATATGGTTGTTAATCTATAAGGCATATACACATTCTCATGTGAGGTCATGCAGTTTGTGAAAATGTGTTTTCATGATACACCAGTTTGTCTATATGAAGTTAATTATAGATTTTCTCTATCAGATTTGAACATTTTCTAAGGACAATATAAATCCGAGTTGATATAATTTCCTGACAAAATGTTTTCACTGCAGTAACATTATTCCGTTGTTTATTGTGATGCTGTTCTTAGGCAAATGATAAAAATATTCAATTGAGGCTTTAACAGGCAATCATCAACACATGGTCATGCCAACAAAACCTCTAGGAAGAGTTCCAAATAGGCCCTCAAATTTATCCACTGCTGCTCAGATTAATTTGCCCCTTTGAAATTTCCGATTTGATATTTTAAGATTCATCACCATGAACGGATTTGTCTATGTAATGCAAGTTTAAATACAGTAAACCTCCATGACAGAATTATAGATTTTAAAAGCATCAACAACCCTTAACAAGATATTTATCGAAAGTGCAGGCTTAAATTGCAAAGCTAACTTAATATGGATAATGACTTTAGTTTTATCCTTCAATTAAAGCTAGTATTTTGTCCTTTCTTCTGCAAGATTCTAACATTCTATTTAAAATAATACAATTCTCGGATTTATCATTGAAAATCTTAGTTCCTTTAGACCTTACTTAATAAATTCTTATCAAACCAATAATCTCATACTCATGGCAAACTGATGGCAAACCCATGGTACCCTGACTGAAGCATTTTTAATTGCTTTAGCTGAATTAATTTGAAAGTCTGTTTCATGTAAAGTCGTAGTTGAAAAAAGCGACATGTCCACGAACTGTTTAGCATTGTAGTCCCTCTTGCTTAGAGCTGGAAAGGGAGCTTGTATCTGTAGGCTGGCTGATGTTCCAGATGAAGCATAATGTTGCAGGGAATTCAGGCTCTGCAGTCTAGAATCTGGAATAAAAAGTTATGCAATAAAACAATTAATAACTACTAGTTTAATTGTTCAATCTTTCTACAACTTTTGTATTTCTGATCATGTCAATTTCTTTGATTAGAAATGAATAAAGTAGAATGATATAAAACATTCTTTGAAAATATTGATACGAAAGCAGTTCAAGTTAAGAAAAAATTATAACTAATTTATTTTTAGGCTTTGGAAAAGAAAAATCTCATAACCATTTGTGTATGTTTTATACAATAGATACAATCTGAATTAGATCTCTAACAAGGACTATGAAAACTGTACTTACTCATTCGTTTTTTTTTTCTCTTTCATATTGATTACTGTAGAGGCATGGCAATGATGACAGGCACAAAACATACTAATACGATCAATTAATTTTACTGGTAAACCCTTACCCTTACCTTTTCAACTTGAAGAGATGAATAAGACCTTAGGTATGAAAGTCCAGATGCCATGAGTTTTGCAGTTCATGTAGATGCAACAGCTCTTTACTTTGCAACCTAAAATTGAAAACGGAGATAAACATATTTCATGAAGAGAGCAAATATATTTCTCAGAAAAATAGTTGTCACTTTACTTAATCTAATGTGTTCAACTGAACAAAAGCATATTTTCGTCAGTGATTCTAATTGTAATTAAAATGGTGGACTGTGTAATGTGGAAACTTCTAATACACTCTGGACTTATCTTGCTTTTGACTATGATCCCAAACATTTCTTTTAAATCTTGATCTTGAACTAGAGCTTTTATTTGTAATATCAAACTAACAACAGTCAAATCTTAATCATGGATACTCTGATCTTGAACCGAACCCTATTGTACAGAGTTTGATTAAAACTATTCTCTGGGGAATAGAAGTAAAAGAGATGCCGTAAATGGTATATAACGAACAGAAAACATCTTACATCATGAATATGCAAATTAGAGTTTGTTCAATCACATCTTTATACTTTCACTGTTGCCCTATTCTATGCACAATTGATCAAAATCTGGCTGATCAAGTATCTATGTTTTTGACCTGTCATGGTTGGCTTCCTATTAGATTGAGAACACAACATTTTCAGTTTGTTATTGAAAAATCCAATATCCGGTATCTTAACCCTTTATCATAAATGAATATAAAAGACTATAAACTGAACAAAAAGTTAGTACTTTATTTCTATGTAGGTTTAGAACATGAAGAAGAAAAAGAACCTCACCCTTATTTCATGTCGGTGTTCAAACTTTGCTAAGATAATCACATCAAAAGGCCACTTAGTATGGTAAGATCTTGCAGTACACCTTGAACCAGATTACATTATGCAGATCCATATCCTTTCCTCGGGGCAGAGGTAGGATGAGAGACGTTGGAGACTATAGAGGTCTATTTCTTGGATATGACTCAAGAGTCCATGTCCACTCCATCTCTGACTCTAAAAGAAAAATGAAATGAAGAAAAACAAAATATAGAGCTCGATACATGAGCCTACTACATATCATTCTATATCTAGTCTAAAATCGAACTTGTTACTGTTAGATGTAGACTAGATCTAACTCCTGTTTAATTTAGATCTCACAAACATACAAGTAGTCTAGCTGATCTAGGACTAAGGGACTAACTCTAAATTCTGATGTATCTAAGTTAATCCTGCACAAAAGGTGCAGTGTAGAGACTAGGTCTAGACTACATCAACCCTAAGTCCCTAGATCTAGTATAAGGATGCAGACCAAAGCTACATTAAGATCTTATTCTTAAACACGATCTAACTTGGGTCTTGGGTCTGAAACTGTGGAGACAGTTTTTTTTCTTTCATAAAATGTTAACGTTGAAACAATGACCCCGTCGATTGTTAATGTTATTATCAACATGAAAAAGGACCTACCGCACTGCCTACCGGCAAATAACAAAGTAGGCTAGGCCTAGTCTAGATTTGGAAACTGAGCCTTAACCTCAATTTATAGCCTAGAGTCTAGGCCTAGATTCTACGCACTAGACTTTTTATCGGCGACCATTCAATGCGATGATTTCTAAAGCCGTGGTGGACTTATTTATTTTGTCATCTAACGCAAGAATAAATTATATTTCCTAATGAATTCAGACCTGTCATAACCAAATATTCAATGTCGTTAGACAAGTAGAGTTGGATATGCATGGATGTAATGAATGGGACGGAAATGCATGAACCAATGCAATTCGTCCATCTTATTTTTAGGATTCCATGACATTTGCTCCGGCGACAATTGCTCCGCTGTAAATTTCATACGCTAATCGAATGGCTAACTTCTACCCTGGATTCAACACTATACCCTACCCTAAACCTAACCCTAAACCTAACATAACACCCTATTGAAACCCTAACCCTAACCCTACATCTTGACGAAATAAAGCCCGGAGGCGTTATTTTTTTATGCGGCACAGATTGGGGCATGGCGCGTGTTAAACCTATGGGAAGTACGTTCTTTCCCTTCTGAATAGTGTCTGCACATACGTGAGACTAGTCATGTTAGCTAGCGCATTAGATAGCGCTGCGAAGAAGTTTGTATATCCATCGCGAACTATGTGTTTAGATAACATTCCTCTTCGTTTAAGTTAGTTAAGTTTTATTGACTAATTATTGTGATGTTCTCCTTATTGACGTGCTGCCTCCTCTTCAGATTTCCAATTTGATTTTAATTGTTGATGTAATGATTTTCCATGCGGTAGTGGATTAAATGTAACACTATTAAAACCAGACTTCTACTACTTATACTCTCTAGTACGCACACGACCAGTATTAGTCTGTAAATCAAGACCCCTTTTTAAAAAAAGCCCCAATCTGTGCCGCATAAAAAAATAACGCAGCCCGGAGCAATTGTCGCAGGAGCAAATGTCGTGTCACCTATTTTTAGCTCAGAAGTTGGGGAACGCTAGACCCTATTATTACTACTAGATCTAGTATTGATATTTATGTCAAATATCGTTCGGTTAAAAATGAGAAGAATACTTTCCTTCCACCAAAATTTGTTTTCAACAGAATGAATATTTTAGGAGAAAATGGAATTAACTCACTTTTTGAGGACCTCTCTTGCAGTAGTTTAGCGACGCATTTTTGTGGTTGACCTAAGTAACATCGACTAGCCTTGATCACAGAGCCCTTTGTTTAACCTAAAATTTATCAAGATCGATTCTAGCTAAATTTGATTCGATGAAACAGGTCACGAGCATCAGTTTAAAGGTTAAGTGATTCAGCCTTTAATAAAAAATATATTTTCAAAGATATTCAGGCACGTAGCCACGGGGGGGGGGGGGGGCTTGGTTGAACTTTGTTAGACCCCTCCCCAGGACAGATCTAGGTCTATGTGCCCAACCCCCCCCCCCCCCCCCAACATCAAACTCTGGCTACGGACCTGATTTTAGATGATGAATCAACCTCCGGCGGGGGGGGGGGGGGGGGGGGGATCGTGAAAACTAGTAATTTCCCCTAGTTTGGCATTGTTTAAGCTTCGAAAATTCACCAATTATAAGTCGAATTATGATCTGCAATGCTACGATATAATCGTAATAATTATAATAATAATAATTCATGATAATGATAATTAATTTTATAAGGATAGAAAATCTAACGTTTGTATTTTAAGTCAACATGGACCCCGGGACATGGACTTACATTAATTTAGCTTCCGACGGTGCATAATATTAATAATACATTCAACTGCATATTTTCTAGACCTATTACAATTTTGGATTTTTAATACAGGCATTCAAATTATATTTTTTTTTTTTTTTTTTTTTTCCAACTTTTTATTGATTTTCGAATTTTTTTGTAACATTACAAAAACAACAATCATACAAGAATTAAATAATTGTATAACATTAAAAGAACAATAATCAAATACGAATCACTGTAACAATTACCCCCAAAAAACAACAACAATCAAACAAACAAACAAACAGACCTGATGTAAAAACTAAAAAATCAGTCTCGGGTGGTTTGAACTATATCATTATCAAAATATAATTATGGATAATTAGAATAAATTCTCAATAGGGGACCATTTTCTATAGTGCATGTTTTCTTTGTGCTTTTGTTTAGCAATTACCAATTCTATATGTCTGATTTTGCAAATGAACGTTTCAAAACCTATGAAACTTACTACTAAATTCCTGCATTTCTGAATATAAATGTATCTCTTCAATAAGATAATTAAGTGATTTAATAATATTTTATGTGGTCCCTTCCAATCCTTTATGAATCCAAACATCATTCTTTTCCTAGATAGATCCTCATATCTGACAGATAGCTTTAGACCAATTTTATCAACAAAAGCTCGTCTTAAATCTTCAGCAACCTTACACTCATAAAAAAGGTGTAAAGGAGTTTCAACAGAGGTCTCGCACAATGTGCAAAGTTCTGTCTGAACTTGCTTCATTTTAAATAGTCTCTCATTGGTGTATAGAATATTATGCAAAATTTTAAACTGGAAGACTCTCATCTTAACTTCTATTGTGCATTTAAATGGGAGTAGATACATTTGTGGCCATTCCTCCTCTTCTATCCCATATTTAGTGGAAAATAGGGGTTCACAGACAGGTCTACATGTCAATTTACTAACTAAATCAACATAGATATTTCTAGTTTTTAGTTTTTGAATTTCTACTGTCAAAAGGTCAGACTGATCATGTTCAAAATCTATTTTCTCCAAGAACATTTTTATCAATAATTGATTAAATGAACTTCCCCATTTCTTCCTGACTAGCGATACTATTGCCAAATATATCATGTAGTATTTACCTGGTACTCCTCTTGCTTTCCAAAGATTAAATTGAACAATGTTTCCATGTAGATCAAAAAGTTGATATACATAACATAGACCTGCCTCATGAAAGGCCTTACAGTAAACTGATTTATTATCAATAAGAACATATTGATTGTTCCAAACAATTTGACTAAGTACACTTGCTTGGGCTCCTTGATCATCAACAAATTGATTATACTCCTTTGTCTTGGACCATGCTAACAACAAGTTTTGATAAAATATGGGAATTCCAAGAGAATTCAACTGGTTCATAGAATAATTACTCATAAAAATCAATTTTCCACCAAATCGTTTACTATAGTGGTCAAAGAACAACTTCCAATGATGATCTGATTCTGCATAATATCTCTGAATCCACTTAACCAGCTGTGTCTCTATCATGCATTTTAGTTTCGGGAATTTAAGACCACCTTCAGTATAATCTGCAATCATTGTTGCCCGTGATATCTTATCTGGACCTTTCCATATAAACTGAAACATCAACTTTTCAACCTCCTTAACAAAATCATCGGGTATTTCAATATTGGAAACAATATACATAATCTTAGACATAACAAATGTTTTCAACAGTTGAATTTTTCCTATTAAAGTTAACCCCCGATTCTTCCATCTTAAGAAAGTACATTTTATTTCATCCAGTCTCTTATCAAAGTTCAGTTTCCTGACTACTTCCTGATCATATGAGAAATGAATGCCTAAAATTCTTATGCTTTTGTCTGCCCAATGTATATCATTTGTTTTTTCTCCATTGTGCCTATCTTTCCCAACCCATATACCTTCCGTTTTTGTTTTATTCAAATAAAAACCTGATATGATTGAGAATTCTTCAAAAACTTTGAAAACCATCTTCATTGATTGTATATTCCTACAAAAGCAAGTTATGTCATCAGCATATGCTGTATACTTTATTTGTTTTCCACTAAATTCAAAAGCCTGAATATTATCATTATTATTAAGTCTTGTAAGAACAACTTCCAAGCTCAGTATAAACAGTAAAGGAGCCAGAGGATCACCTTGTCTGACTCCTCTAGACACTGGAAAATATCCAGTGGTAAATCCATTCACCAATACACAACTACTTATATTAGTGTGCAATGTTCTAACCCATTGTATGAAAGATGGTCCAAAATTGAACGCTTCTAAACAATTTAGCATGTACCTGTGGCTTATTGAATCAAATGCTTTTGATAGATCAAGGGCTAGCATAATACCTCTCAAATTCTCCTCCTTAGTATATTGTAAGAGGTCTGATATTAATCTTATTCCTTCCCCTATGTATCTGCCTTTAATAAAGGCAGTTTGTTGACTATCTACTAACTTTCCTATCACCTTAGCAACTCTCTTTGCCAAGCATTTAGAAAGTATTTTAACATCTACATTTAAAAGAGTTATGGGACGCCAATTGCTCAGTGTGTGTTTATCTCTTTCAGGCTTAGGGATGAGTTTAATTGTACCTTGTCTTTGTGACACAGACATTACACTATTTTCATATGCAAAATTGAAAGAATCAATAACTTCTTTTGATATCAAAGGCCAAAACATCTCATAAAACTCCACAGTTAACCCATCGTTCCCAGGTGTTTTATTTCTAGCCATTTTTAACAATTCTGCCCTAGCTTCAGAGCAAGTGATATTTCCTTCACATGAATTTCTTTCTTCGTCTGTGAGTTGCTTGATGTTACTCTGACTTATGTAATCTTTGCTCACCTCATCTTCCACCTTATCTTTGTTCTCAAACAAAGTTTTATATGATGTCTTAATGAAATCCTGTATTTCAGACTGTTTATCAATACGTCCTACATCTGAAATCAAAACATCAATATTGGAATTTGCTGCTTGACCTTTTTCCAATGACAAAAAATATTTAGTACTCTTTTCTCCTTTCTCATACCATGTACACCTTGACCTCAAGATTGCTCCATCTGCAAAATAGTCATATATTTTAAACAACTCCTGTTCTATTTCCCTTTTCTTTTTCATTAATTCTTCATCTATATCTTCTGCTGCCATCCTGTCATCTAATTTTTTCAATTCTTTTTCAAGAGCCTTTCTTTTCTCTTCCCTTTCACATTTCTTCTTCTTAGAAAATGGTACAGTAAATTCTCTAATTTTAAACTTTAACCAATCCCATAGCCCTCCTTTATCATTACTATCTGTAAACTCACCAATCCATTCTGAGTATTTATTAGCTAAAGCATTAACATACTCCACATCATTCAATAGACTATTGTTAAATTTCCAGTAGGACGGACCAGAATTTTTTGTCTTAATTTTCATGTGCAAACTAACATGATCATGATCAGACAAAACACACGGTATGATATCATTTTCACTAATTGTATTCTGTAAGGATTCATGGATTAACCAAAAATCCAATCTAGATTGCACCAGTGGGTTATACCTTCTCCATGTAAATCCTTTTTTGCAGGGGTTTCTGATTCTCCAAACATCAACCAAACCAAAATATATTTTCAGATTTTCTATAAGATTCACAGAGTGCTTCCAAATGCTTTTCATTGAGCCACCTGCCCTGTCCAGATCAAGGTTTTGAATTAAATTAAAGTCCCCACCAATTATTAGAATTTCCTCATTTTCAACGTTATCTTGTATGGTCAATTCTACCTTCTTAAAAAACTCAACCTGATCCTTCTCATTATTTGGTGCATATATGTTGCATATCACATAAACTTTCTTCTGAATTTCAACTTTTACCAATAAAAATCGTCCCATTATATCTTTAATGGAGTCTAACAATTTAAAATCGGGTGTCTTTCTTAATATAATGCATACTCCTCTGCTCTTAGAAGTTCCATGACTGAAAATAATATCAGATCTAACTTGATTTCTCCATAATGATTCTTCCTTTTCTACAGAATGAGTTTCCTGTAAAAGGATAATATCTTTGTTCTGTTTAAGCATATAATTAAAATAACGTTTCCTTGCTTTAAAGTCCCCCAATCCGTTAACATTATGTGTCATCAGCTTCAAATCCATAGTTGAGATATGAATTACTTAAAAATACCACCATTATAAGATCAGGTTTAACATATATTAAACATTCAGGTTCAACAAACAAACAACACAAAAAACAAATCATAACAAAGGCTAGTTCTTCTGTATGCCTTAGGGAGATCAAGGTGGCGCTCTACATCGTGGTCTTTCCTTTTATCCTTTGAGTGCTTTTTCCACATATTCACCTATAAAAGTTCACTCTCAGAGTTAAGTTCTTGTCATTAACCTAATCTAAGTATTCCTTTTTCACTTTTCTTCTTGTTTTTAAGTAGGCAAGGTAAGTCCAGCTCTATAACATTATTCATGTTTTTGTTTTTTTAATGTTTCCAGCATTTCGATGTGGAATGATAATATTTTCTTTCCTTTGACG